CATCGGCTGCCGCAAAGCCACTGTCGGCCCCATCCTCTGCGGAGGTGCTGGGGGGATCGCCGGGCTGGCGGTCACCGCACACGGCCGGGTCGCTCAGCTTGGTGTAGGTGGAGCTGCGGGTGAGGGAGCGGGCCGGTGACCCGCCGGCTGACTCCCCGGTGCCATCCTCCTTAGCTGTGCCGTTCTGGGCCACCTCCATGCTGTGCAACAGCGTCTCCAGCTTCTTGTTCTGGATGTTGATGTCCACAAAGTACTTCTGCAGCCCCTTGTCCTTGTCAATCAGGTTGTTCTTGACAGTGTCGATGACCTGCTTGAGCTGCTTGATCTCCTTGCGGGCCTCCTTCAAGGCCAGCTGGGCCTCCACACGGTGGCACTCCTCCTCGATCCAGTCCTCTTGCATGCGTGACAGCTGCGTCTTCAGGTCATCGATCTCCGAGTCCCTGAGAGCAGAGGAGACACACACACTCACTGCCTGCCTGCTGCCGCCCCCGAGGAGAGGCAAGGAGGACAGTGTCGCCAAGGACGAAGGGCCTTGTGCTGCTGCAGCTCAGAGCCAGAATCAGAAGGAAGGGCCTAACGCCTGGCTGCTCATTTGTGTCCCCCACAGGGAGGCATGAGTGTGGGTGGGGAGGAGGCCGAGGGAGAAGGCGGGAGAGGCCTCCTCCGGGAAGCAGAAGTGTCCGCAGGAGACACCGCCCGCATCCCCAGCTCCCAGAGGCCAATGTGCAGATGACTCTCGACATCCATCCTCCAGAGCAGCGGTCCTCAGCCTTTCCGGCACCAGGGACCGGTTCTGTGGAAGACGGTTTTCCATGGACTGGGGAAGGGGGTGATTCACATGCATCACACTGTGCACTTTATTTCTACTATTATTCCACTGTAATATATAATGAAATATAATATAAATATATAATGAAATAATGATACAATATCAAGTTATGTATATTATATTATAAATAGTTATACAATAATTATGCCACCAGATGCAACTGTACAATTGAAGCCCATCAACTCACCTGCCACTCACTGACAGGGTTTTGATATGGGTCTGCAAGCAACTGACGTATCATGGTCTCTGTGCAGTCAAGCCTCCCTGCTAATGTTCATCCGTATTTGCAGCCGCTCCCCAGCACTAGCTTCACCGCCTTAGCTCTCCCTCAGCTCATCGGGCATTAGGTTCTCATAAGGAGCAATGACCTAGATCCCTTCACATGATAGGGTTCACGCTCCTATGAGAATCTACTGCTGTGGCAGAGCTGACAGGAGGTGGTGCTCAGGCGACAATGTGAGTGGTGGGGAGCAGCTGTGGATACAGCTTTACTCACTCGCCTGCCTGCTGTTCACCTTCTGCTATGTGGCCTAGTTCCTAAAAGGCCACGGACAGGTACCGCTCCATGGCCGGGGGTTGGGGACTGCTGCACTAGAGAAGAGACGAGGCAACAGAGATTCTGAATTTATAAGTGCTGCTGTTAAGAACCTAATGAAACCCTAACATAAAGCAACAAAAACTAGGCAGACACGATCTGCTCTATAGAAAGGGACATGGCCTCCCCCCTCAAGCAGGTGTGAACACTTTAGGATATTAGGCCAGAGAGCCCTGGGGAGAGAAATGAGCCTTCCGTGTTGGGGGAGCTGATAGCTTTACATCATCCCTCAAGTGTGTGTGGGGGGGGCGGGGGTGAGAAGGGGTGGATATAGCAGAGGAGAGTGAGAACAGATGGCTCTTGTTTATCATGCTAGAAGTTTCTTCCTTGTACCCACTGTAAAGAGGAGAAGCTGAAAAGATCAAGAAGAAAGGCACAGTTACTCCTGAGAGAAGGGCCACACACCAGGCCAACAACACAGTCAGAAAACTCTTGTCCAGAGATGCTCAGCCTTTTCCATTTCCTGATCCACAGACAAGTATGGGGCACAGGGGAGGGAGGCAAGTGAGAGAAACACATCCCATCAATCTGGTAAAGCCAGAGTGAGGCTGAGAAAGCAGGAAGGTCGTTCAAGATGTTACAATCCCACCCTGGGAGTCCCTCCTCCAGTACACTTGCTAGTGATACAACTGCTCAACCAACACCCTTCATGTAAATGAACGCTACACATGGCACGGCTGTCCCCTGGGATTTATGAGCTCTGCAGAGTGACTGTCCCAGACGAAGCACCACATACTTTTCAGTCAGACTGGAAATTCCACTCAGGAAATAGACCCAGGAATCTCACTCCACAGTATTTTGAAGGACCTGGGGCTGTGGGGTTGCAATGGCCACCAAGAGCAGGGACGGCATCACCCAGAAGGGAACCCACTGCCCAGCCGGACACCACTCAGCTATGGCAGTGGGGTGGCACAGTGGATCAGCTGCCAATGACAGATAGAACACAGGTATTGGGGATGGAGATCTGTGTTCCTCATTCCTCCTGCCTCAGGGTGGGGGCTCACTCTGGGGTAACCCTCCTGGCCTCTCATCCAGCTCCTCACTCACCCTCACCCAGGAGGAAAAAGCAAATAGACCCTCAGCTTGGCTGCTCCCTCCTTTTTCTCCTTGGAGCCAGCTGGACCCCAGGGAGCTACGCCCAGCCATGCCTAGGCCTCAGAGAGTTGCAGGCATCATACTTGACTGGGATCTTGAAGGTGAGTTTGCCAAGGAAGCAGGATGGGGGAACAGGGCATCTAGGCGGCAGGGACACAGGACAGGCAAGCACTTTGGGGAGCAGAAGGGAGGCCATCGCAGGAGGCCCACGTATGAGACTTGACACGTAGCAAGGGTGAGGGGCATGAGAATCTGGCGCGTGAGAATGCCACAGGGTCCTGCAGGCCTAACAGGCAGAGGGCGGCTGGGGAGACGAGGTGAGGGCACACCCACGCCAGGGCAGCCTGCCCAAGCCACACGGGGCAGATGGTCTGCTCTGAGCCCTAGAAACAAGGCTGGGAGGTGGGCCATCTGTTCCCTGAGGCGTTAGTGCAAAAGGCCACGCAGATCCCAGGCGTCATTGGAAGATGAGGGGAAATAAAAAGAGATCCTAACTCCGCAGACAGTGAGGCTCACAGAACATTACCAGTAACCTCCTGCAGTGTAAAACCCAATGCATCCAAACTGGGTTGGCTGTTTGGCAGAGCTGTGGTCAAGAACGATGTGGCCGTGCAAATCATATGACCCATTTATGTGACGCGTCCAGAACAGACATAGCCATGGAGATGGAAAATTTTTTTTTTGAGTTGGAGTCTCACTCCATCACCCAGACTGAAGTGCAGTGGCACGCTCCCGGTCACTGCAGCCTTGACCTGCTGGGATCCGGCGATCCTTCCGCCTCAGCCTTCCAAGTAGTCAGAACTACAGGTGCGCACTACCACACCAGGCTAATTTTTTGATTTATTGTAGAGATGAGGTCTCGCCAAGTTTCCCAGGCGGGTCTCAAACCCGCGGGCTCAGGCAATTCACTCACCTAGGCCTCCCAAAACGCTGGGATTACGGGCTGAGCCACCGAGCCCGGCCGGGGATGGAAATATTAGTGGCTGCCAGGGACTGGAGTTGTTGGAGAGAAATGCGGAGTGACTGCTAACAGGAATGGGGCTTGTCTCTGAGGTGATGGGAGCATTTATGGAGTTAGACAGTGGTAAGGGTCGCACAATTCTGTAACTACACCAGCAACCATCACTAAAATTGTACATTTTAGAGAGGTGAATTGTATGGAATGAGAATTACATCTCAATGAAGCTGCTGTATTTTTAAAAAAGGGGGGAAAGCTGTTGTGATGCCAGCCCTGAGCGCCCTCATGGTGCCTTGTCCAGCTCACAACAGGCTGCATGTTTGCAGGACCGAGTCCAGACACGGATGGTTAAGATGCTGGGCGATCGGAGCAGCTCTGCAGTGTCACTGTAAAGACGAAGTTGCCAGGGTGGGGCCACGGCAGAGGCTGGGAGGGTCAGGACCGAGCACCTGAGACTGAGCCAGGCTGGGCCTGTGGGGCTTCTGGGAGACCCTGGGCTGGGAAGGAGCTCAGGGAAAGATTTCCAATGACCATCACATCTACCCAGGAAGTCCATGCCGAGGAAGGCTTCTGGGGCCTGAATTGGTGGGCCATGAGCCCCCTGGCAACTCAGTCAGGAGGAAGTGAGAGAGAGCATAGGGTGGTTTCTCCCCACAGAAACAGGTAAGTCAGAAGGAGGCCCTGTGCTCCAACTCCCCATAGACAGGAGCCGGGAAGTATGAAGCAGCCAAAGGGAGCCGCCGGGACGAAGTGAGCAGGGGACTGTACAGGTGGGAGGCCTTCATGGGAAACCACTTCTGCCTATGTCCCTTTCTCCCCCCACCCTTACCTCCACCAGCCACTGGGCAGTCAAGATGAGTAGCGGCTAGGGGTAGCTTGCAAATAGGCTCAAACAAGGAGAAAGCAGTGGATGCTGGGATGCTCCCAGCTACTCCTCCTTCCCAGGGGCACCCAAGGCCCTAGTTCCTCTGACTGTGGTCCTGGGGGGTGTCCCCAGGCTGCTCACCGGTCCTGGAGCCGATCCTGTGTGTCCTTCAGCCGGGCCCTCAGGTGCCGGATGCACACCTCCTTCTGCTGCAGTGGAGTCAGGTACTGCTCCGGGGTGGGGGGCTTGATGCCATGGTTGTCGCTGCATAGCATGTACTTCATGGAGCGCCTGCAAGAGACGCCTGTCATCTGGGAGTGGGGAGGAGGCTGGGCAATGCTGCCACACCTCCGGGGGGGGGGGCAGGGGGATGCGGCTTAACCATCCTTGTCCCCCAGCCACCAAAGGCTCCATGCCAGGCGTGGGCACAAGAATACCCAGCCTTCTGGAGACAGGTTTTAGTAGAGCTCTTCTGAATACTACAGCGTCAGGGTGGGGGGCTCAGGGATCCTCTAGTTGGGGGAGACATTACCCAGAGCATGTATGGAACACTGGCCCCAGGTCAAGCACTTGACCATGTCCGCCAGTCCTGACAGCAGCCCTGGAATAGAGATGGTCTTCCTCTTTCATAGGTGGTCAGTCACTGGCCTCATAGAGTTTAGCTCTTGCCCAGAGCCCCTCGGGCAGTCCCCAGTGCACCCCAGAACTCAGGCATCCAGTCTCTCAACCCAGAGAATAAGTTTGAAGGTTGGAGGCCAGGGTGGGAGTGGCAGACTTTGGCTCTGCATGGCAGATAAGGACACACCCCCTCCACCGCCCCAGCCCCTAGAGGAAGAAACATCTGGGTGAAGAAGCTCTCCTCTCTGAGCTGAGCCCATCCAGCCCGGAGACAGGGAGAACGACACGGCTGTCCCCGCACACTTTGAGGCTCCCAGCCCACCTCATGCATACGTGTGTGTGCACTACCTCGGCACATCTGGATCCTAGTCCCTCGGTCCCTGCCTGCTGTGTACGTGGATTCGCACTCGTGTCTGCACAACCCATGTCTTGCTGCCAACCTCGTGGGGACCAGGACACCAGACCAGGTGCATTCACATGCCCACACCTTGGGGGCATATGTGAGCCCCTGCAGGTTCTGGGCATGGACCTGCCAACAGCAGAACCCTCAGGTGGTAACATGAGGTGTGAGCACCCTGGCCCTGCCAGCCCAAGGAGGAAGAATATCTACCCAGAGGGCTGTTGGGTGTCAGCGGGGAGGGGAGGGCCTTTTGCAAGGAAGGAGAGCACCCAAACTCCACAGGAGCCCACGGCTTAGCTGCCTCTGCTGGTAACCTCCTGCCTACTGGGTGTTCTGTTCATAAAGGAACCTCCTTTATGGTGTTTATGGCTTAAAAACCTGGCCCTGCTGCCATCTACTCCTTTAGGGGGCAGGGTCTCCCAGGTCCAGCAAGGGGCAATGACCCTCTATGGGCCTGGAAAAGACAGGCCCTGGTGAGGCCCATTTGCCGAGGCAGCCAAGCTGGAAGCAGTCTTATCAGTTCTGTGGAAGTAGTCTACTGTTACTGAGGAAAAAGTATTTGTAAGACGTCAACTGTTGAAGAGAATACAGAAACAGGGAGAAGGAGCATAGTTTTCTCTGTACTCACCTTGTGGTCCCTAGGTTAACCCAAGCAAAGTCACACACAAGCTTGTTTTCTGCTTGGCAAGGGGCAGAGGAGTAGTATGGGTCGCGAGCTTGGGGTTTTCCCTCTGGTCTAAGAATTCTCTTTCCTAAAGTGAAGCAAGCCCCATAGATCATCCCAAAACCTACAGGTAGGCCTGTGGTCATCCTACCCTGCAAGGACTCTGGCTAGAAGGGCAGAGGTCTGTGATGAGTAAGAGAGGGTTCCCCGCATGCCTGGGTGGGGACGGGGGCATGTGAGATGACGTGGGGTGGTGGCAGTGGGGGAACAAGGATTAGAGAACTAGTAAGAACTAAAATTAGAGAGGCAGTAGCTATTTTAACTTTATCCATTTCATGAGTATATTTTCCCAATGTAACATTTAACACTCATACATTTTAGTCACTATCTCAGTTAAAAAATGTGTGTGTGTGTGTGTGTGTGTGTGTGTGTGTGTGTGTGT